TTCACCAGAGACAGAGCAGGGAGCAGAACAGGCAGATCGACGAAGTACACTGCTGAGGGGAGCAGCGGGCGGGTCAGGAGAGGTCTGCCTCGCCATGTGGTCACCTCCGGGGCAGGCGGGAATCGAACTCATGTGGAAGCGGCTTTAGATTCTCAGTGCAGTGCTTTAACCCGCTGCGCCACCAGGGAGGGCCAATCAATGTATTTTTTAAGGAATATTTTTTAATGTATGTTTCTAAGGAAAATAGTACTATTATTTATTTTAATGTACACTGGCAATTTCCAGTTTTGCTTACTAATGTAAGCATGCCTACTATAGAAAGCATGGCTAGAGCAGCTGAATAACTTGCTTTGAGAATGTTAGAGCAGGGAAAATAGAAGAGACACAGACATAGAGTTATTTTATATTGTCTTGCATGCAAAGGACTGATTCATATTAAATGAAGACTTAATCTAAAGAGGAACATCCCCAAGTAGGTATTATGAAGTTAGCTTTCTAAGCCATTTTTGTTTGGAAATTTAATTTCTCTAGGTTAGTACCCCAAGGTGAAATCAGGACAGGCTCATTCTATTCACCTGAGTTTTCTCTCTGACTCTAGTTCTGATTATACCTTTAATGCAAAATGGCATCTCCTGACTTCCTCTCTAAGAAATCCTTTGCCCTCTTTTCTTAAACCACTCTTTATGTTATTAGTCTTTTGTTCCCTTTTCCTGTTATCTTTGCTCTCCTTTCTCTCTTTTCATCCCACTAGGCAAAAAAATCTGTCTAAAACTTGGCTCAGAAAGCAATATCCAAGGAGCTCACAGTGGACAGAGGACAGGCTAAGACTGCCACAGGCCTTAAGGAGCTACTAGAGACATGAGCTATGGCAGTGTTTTGCTAGTCAGGGAAGCTACGCTTAGGAAGAACTACAAACAGGACTGTTCAGGGAAGGAGGGAGTTCTGAGTATAGTTCAGCAGAAGCCCCCTTTTTTTCATGAGGGTCGATAAGCGCCACAAAACCACAGATGAAAGGAAATAGAAAACTCCACCACTGGCCTTTTTCCGAGCGTGGCCGCCTTCCCCTCGGCTCAGTGCCTGCCACATGCCCAGGTGTGCGTCTGGATCCTTGAGGGGCTCCCTTCGCAGGTGACAGTGCTTACGCTATACTGTAAGAGAGCCAGAAAAGTGCCCATGAGAACCAGAAAGCAAACTTCCAGCCAGCAGAATCTTCTCTCTAGGCGTCTAAGATGGGGGATCAACACAGCTATCTAAGCAGCAACTGAATGCCAGAAAAGGTGACAGAGAGATCATTCCACCCACCCACCCCCGCTCAATGTAAGGGTGGTGGGAGAGAGGAAAAAATGTATTCTCGGGGATAGTGGTGTCTTTATGACAGCAAAGACAAAGTCAAGGCCAAACTATGGGGGGAACATCTTCAATTTTAATAGACAAAAAGAAATAGCTAAAGGAAAGTGACCTAGGGTCTAACATTAAATACAGGTGCAAGTCTGTGCTGCGCTGGTCTAGAGAACCAATGCTTGTGAATGAAAGCGTCTTCCTGCACCATCTGGGTGAAGCTAATTGGAGGAAAGTAGAGAGAGAAAAGAAAAAGAAAGGGGTGGGGGAATCCTCATTCTAAGACAGAAAAAAGCATAAATACATAAAAAATAAAGAACTGACATTTTCAAAAGCCACGATCTTATAAGTCAGTCTAAAAAGAGCTGAAGCAGCTGAGTAGAGAATGCCAGCCTTTGGCATTAGTTCTTTGGCAATTCACCTTTCCACTCTTTTTTTATTTACTGTATTTACAAAAGGCCTGCTATTACCCTGCCAATTAAATAAAACAGAATTAGAAGACTGTCCCAACAGATGCATGTCTTACACTAAATTTCTGCAAACCCTGCTGCTCAAATTCAAAATTTCAATCCTCCTAAGAAAAATGGAAGGATGCCATTTACCTGCTGAAATAGCAAAGGAACTTCCAAATGTTCAAGTAATGTGCTTTCAATGCAGGATAGAGTACTATCTAAAGAAGCAGTTAGTGGTACCATCTCCTTTAATTAATTCTGTTAAATAAATAAGACTTTAACTAGTGAGAAAGGTTTATTGTGTTTTGCCCAAATCCAAGCGGCAAGGAAAAATCAAAACCATGGAAACTAAAGTAAATCATTCCAGGACACTAAGCCGATGAAACAATTTATCTTGATTCTTTCTATATTGGCCCACTCACATATTCACACTTTCTTGGCTTAAGAGAACAGGCTACCATTCTGGAAAACGTGAACTAATTATAGGCAAATTTTTTCTGGCAGACTGAATGACGGGGATGTATTTTAGACTCAGCAATCTCAGTTTCCTAAGATAACTGCTTCTTAAAAATTCTACCTCAGGAGCATATCACTTCTCCTGTCTATCCATTTTACTGCACCTGCCCCTCCTCCCCACCCTGATATTGATGCTTTCATTTTATCCTCAAGGCTAGGAGTCATTACATGGCAGTCAAGCAAGGGCACACCTGCTTGTCAAAGGTTAATCTTAAGGATCCGTTGGGAACAGTCACCAGGAGCCATAATATGCTGCAAAGACCTCACTTGGCTGTCACCTGACTGAGGGCAACACAGAACCAAAAGGAACCAAACGATTACCAGAACACAAATAATACAGACCAACTCCCAGATTTCCCTAACTTTATTTTCAGGAAGTGTGTTTCCAAGGCCTAGAAAGCTTTATTAGGAGAAAACTGAAAATTGTAGCAACTTCAAAAAAGTGGAAATGATGCCATTAATTTGATTCATATGGTCTGTTCATTGCCAAGAACAGCTACTTGCTTTAGTCTGTAGGGTGTTCAAGTAGCAGGAAGAGCATCCTGCCTGTTGAGCTGGGGTCAGATACTTGGCTAATTACTGGCTGGGGAAAATATAACAGGTGTTATATTTTCATGTGAAGAAGGGATATGACTACTGAGAAGAAACCCTGTTAAGGAAACATGTGCGATCCAAAGTCCCCCTAGACCCATGGGGGCAAACAAAACCTGTTTAGGGCCATAGATAGGAGAGCGGAGAGGAGAGTGTCTGAGGAATGGATCACCATCCTCATGAAAAACTGAAGGAGGTGAACATCTATAGCTTTTAAATAAATATAAGGAATCAGAAATACAAACTACCTCCAAGGGAACCAAAGGACCATTTGTGCTCCAGAAACTTGATTCAATGTTCCATACCACATCTGAAACCTGCAAGACACATCGGATTGGATCCTAGACCATCGGATCACTATGCCAAAGCCTCTCCATGTTTCTCACAGCATGAACGACAGCACAATACCAGTAAGTTATGGGGTGGATGTATCTATGTTTCCGTCTATTACCATCAGTGACCTAAATCAAATGCAAATTCTTGCCTTGCTGTTTAATTTTTTATTTCAAGGCATAAAAAGAAGAAAGTGAGAGACTAGAAGCTCAAGAAGTTTATAACTGACTTGCACAGATGAGACCATTACTTTAGCTAGAGTTGAGGGGATTGGAGCCCAAGTTAAACTGAGTTTTCGCCAATATGAGCCATGGTCCACCTTCTTTTTAGGTGCATTTAAGGCACCAAGAATATTGTGTATTATTAAAGGAAGGTATCAGACCCTCAAGTTCATTCAAATAATAATCCGAATGTGATGAGGTTGCTTTGCTTTGTCATTCCTCCTTCCTACCCATGGGAGGCCGGAAACATTACAAGGAATAGAGGAATTTTACCTAGGAGGTTGTAATGACTTTCAGATTAGTATATGCAACCCTTTCAAACAGCTCTCTCCTATGCAGTGGTTGTTCCAATCACAGGATCTGACATTTTATAAAACAATGACAATTACAACTAGGTCTTCAAAATGGCCCTTAAAATGTCAGCCCCCAAATCCCCCAAATGAGGGACATTTATTTTCAATGAGTTTTCTTTCTCATATTGTGAAAGAATATATAATTAAAGGGATAATTTATATTCTTTTCATAAAAAAATACTAAGTCCAGCATGAGAATCAACTATGGACAATTTCCCATATTCTCAGAAGAGGTCCTTAAGAGGTGTGGAAACATTTTATTGAGCTGGGGGACTCTGAGGTATCTGGAATACTTCCAGTGAAGCTCTGACAGACCAGATATATTTCTTACATAAAGGTCAAGAAGATTTTCCCCTCTCCCGGTTCAGGATCAAATTGTTCTTTGTAGAGTGGTGACAATGGGTCTGACACAAAGCCCTAACACAATCTCAAAGCAATAGTTTATGTATCTTTTTCTCCATCACCTTACAGCCTATAATAGAAGGATGGGGACAAAGGATCAAAGACAAAGGATGGCCTGCTCCTCCAAACAGAAAGGCACAGAGGTATTTAATTAAGTGCAAATTATTTTGAACATAAATGGGAACGTGGTCAGGAAGGCGAAGCAGCTGCCTATGCATTTAATTTGATTTCTAGGAAAACATGACGAGGAAAAACGATCAGCTAGATTTATAACTTAGAGGCAGAAACTTGCCTGATGACATCTACTAAGCTTTGATAGCCGCTTTCTCAAGGTCCTGATCACTCATCACTTCTACTTAGACCAGTACCTTACGCTTTGTACCAGTACAACCGAGCTGATGTGAACAGCTAAAGAATCTGGTCTTAAACTAAGAAAGAAAGAAAAAAAAAAAATCCCAGGCTGCGCGACTTCCTCCCACAGCACCAGGTCTAGCTCCAACGCTGGCCTCTGCAGATCCCGAGCTCCATCTATCTTTTCAAGTCTCCGCCCTCCCACTCCCCTCCTCCCCCGACCCTCTCCGCCAGGAGCGCCTCCCCTCTCTGGGACTTTCACAGCCCCCAAAGACATCAACCTCTCGATCGCTACCCCAGTCCCGCCTGCGTGGCTTCGGCGCCCAGATCTCCACTAGCTCAGTGGATGGAGATCATGATCCCAGCCGGTCCCAAGCTGCGGTGAGCGGACTGTACGGCCGGCCCAGGTCCGAGCCATCCTCGTGACGGTCCGCCTCACTCACCCTCTGTCACCTCGAGCACCTTAATCTGTTCCTCGGCCGCCGCCCGCACCTCCTGCACCGGAGACAGGATCCCGGTGAGCGTATCCACCAACACCTCCTTCAATCCTTGTGCCACTGGACCCGGCAGCCCGGAGGCCGCACCAGCCGCTGCCGCTGCCGCCATCTTTCCTCCCTTCAGCCCGCCAGCCCCGCGCCCGGGACCCGCCACTGAATGACGGCTCCTGCGCGCGGCCAATCCGCGAAGACGCGCCTGCGCGCCAGCGTTGAACGGGGCGAGAGGGGGCGGGGAATATGTCTGGCCTCCGGAGACAGCGCCACCAGGCGATCAGTGACCGAGAGCTGCACCTAAACTGAGCTGGAGAGAGGAGTTTAGGGGGTTTCCTGAAGACTAAAAGCAATTTAGCAAACTCAATTGGAATATGACCTTAAACTCTGGGATCTTCCAGGTATAAGACTGCGTTTGTGGAGAGGAGATGGGGTGGGAAAGATGTATAGGAGTCCGGGTCGGAAATAGCTGTTTTAAACCAAATTCTTCCTGCTCCTCCCTCCCCCCCCCCGCCCCGCCCCACCATCCTCCCCACCAGTGAAAGGAGTTGACCCAAGTGAGTCTTTTCATTTCTAAGCCCCAGGAAGCCAAAGGTAGGGGATAAGAAACTGAAGCTGACTGGGCAGTGGGGAGTGACCACCACCCTAAGGTGCTAGGTGCTTGGTTTCCCCGCACAGGTGAGCCCAAACTGGAAATGGCTGAGCAGAAGGGAGCACCTGCTGCTGAAGGACACTTCTTTCGAAGTAAATACTTACGTTACCAGTTGAGAAAGAGTCCTAGGAGCGAAGAAGGTTAAAAATAATCCCCGCACCCCCCCAACCCCCATAAATCAGTGGCCGGGCATTTTGAAGACAACGGAGGAGCAAGAGTAGTTCAATATAGACATCCTAGACATCCTGGGGCTGGCTCTTGGGGTGTGGAGACAGTTCTAGTACTGGAGCCAATTGAGGAGTATTATGTAGGGCCTAAAAATGCAGAACAACGGGCTCTCCCTGGTGGCGCAGTGGGTTAAAGCACCGCATTATGAAGCTCTCCGAAGCCAATGTGGCACGAGTTCAATCCCCAGCCAGGGAGCTGCTCCACATGGCACACAGCAGACCCGCCTGTTGCTCCCCTCAGCAGTGTATTTCAGTCCATCTGCCTGTTCTGCTCCCCTCTCTGTCTCTGGTGAATTCTCTCTCCCACCACACCTCTAATGCAGGACAGGCCAGAGCTGGCAGAAGGGATGGAATGACTCATGGTGTTGGGCAAGGATGTTCAAGATTAAAGAGGAATGGGTATATATTTCAGTCAGCTGTTAAGGGTGAGTGTCCTAAAATGGTTTTAGGGATTGTGATTCTCCTTTCCAAATGGCAAAATAAACCATTTTAATAATTCCTAGCCCTGTTCTAAGACTGTGGATGCTAAACTGGTAACAATCAGGGTTTAAATTACCTTGTCTGTGAATTCTTCTACAAGAAATATTCCTTCATTTATTATGAGTACATTTGTCACCTCCTGTGCTAGTGGGCAAAGTTGGGCTGAATTAAACAATTTCATAAGGAAATGATTCCTTCCTGGGCCTTGCCATTCTACAGCAGGAACAAGGCTTTTATTTTTCACTTCTTTCAGTGGCCAACAGAAGCTGAACTCTATTGGAATATCTTCTTTCCTCCTAAGTTAATTCACTTTTACTCCCACAAAAAGCTTAAGAAAGTCTAGTATGCTGTTTTCAGACACTGTGGCAGTGTGGAATCAAGAAATGTGACTCTGGGGATGGACATTTCAAATTCTGGAGGAGACAGCTCTATCCAGAGTGACCAAGTAGGAACCCTCCCTCTCCCAATCAAAAGGGTCCAGAGACTCCTGCTCAGACTTTGAGGGTCAGGCTTTTCTAGGCAGGTGGGCTTTACCTCTGGGTTAGGCAAATGACATCAGCACTCTCACATCCCTTATCAAGGAATGAGCCACAAGAAAGTGGGAACCAAAACCAGACAGAGAGGGGGCTAGAGAGAACCAGTGGACAATGCAGGAAATAACTTTATTGAAACGCAAAATGGGCATTGAACAGATGAATCTTGCTGGGAGGAGACATGCCTGATGGACAGAGGGTCCAGATGAGGGGCGATGAAGGCAGGCCACCTCCACTGGCCCTGGTGCGATTTAATTTTCAACCATTTTTTTTAATTTAAAATGCATTATTTAGGGGACTGTCCAGCTCTCTTTGTGATTGTTACCGCAACTATATACAATGTTCTGCTTTCCAGGTTCAGTTTTGCTTTCTCTATATTAGCTATAAAAGGGGCAGATTGAAAGAAGGGTGCATCAAATGAGAAAAAACAGAAACACACAGACACACACATATCCTGGTTTGGGGTCTTGTGCCCAATAAATTAAAAAAAGTCCTGCCTACCTCTTGCCTGAGGCTTGCATGCGTTTGAGAAACAGACTCCATCACAAACAGTGTTGCCTAAACCAGAATGGGGAGGGGAGGAGCAGGAAGGAAAGGAACCTAGCAGGAGTTGGAATTCATGTAAAAAGAGTATTCTGTTAAAAAGAAAATAATAAAAAATCAGGAAGTGGGTAGCTACTGCACAGCAATAGCCCAAGACTGGCTGGGAATTCAAAATGCTTGTCTTACTAGTCGACATCTCAGAGAAGCAGCAAGAGGCAGGACAGCTCACAGGAGATGCCCAAAGGCCCCTTTGTCAGCCTTCTGGGAACTGAAGGCCTGACTTCAGTGCAGTCCTTTTACATCCATTACCCGCCGGTTTCTGTCTTTCCTCCAAAGGTTTCCATTCCAGAGCTGAGGGAGCCAATATTAAGTATTTGTCCTCTCCCCACAACTCCTTCGCAGGGAAAATTTGAACAAAACCAGTTGTGAACAGCCCCTTTTCCCCCTTGGCCCCCTTGTGCTAGAATCTGAGAGTCTGGAAAGACACGATGCTGCTCAGATGTTTAAAATCAGATCTTACTGTCACCGTGGCTGAGTAGTTCTGTATCCAGGTCCTGATGTGGGGGAAAAAAGGGATGAGCCCAAGGACTCAGTCTCATCAGACTGAAGTCTGCTGTGAGCATACAATGCAAAAGGGGGTATTCCTGGGGGCCAAGAGCCCAATGGCCACTGGCTGCCTGAGGGGAGGGAGGTTCTCCTTAGGGTCTCAGACCTGACAGTGCCCTTTAAACTCAATTAAGGGGGAGGGATGTTGCAGGGAGAGTAAGTTGTCATGGAAACACAAATCAGAATTTTTTAACTTTGCCCATCCTATCACATAATCAGACAAAGGCTGAGCGTAGACACAAATAATCCAGCAGAAGAGCATTCTGGAAGAGACCTCCAGCTGCTTTTCTCTATTGAAGCCCCTTTGTTTGCAGATAGAAATTTCAGAGCTACAGATGCTCGGAAGGTTGTTTCCAATGAGAGGGGATGCAGTCACTCCCCTAACTTCCACCCAAACACACACATATCTTCTGTGTTAAATAAAAGTCAGGAAAAGCAGAAACACGAGGAAGCAGAAAAAAGTGACAGACATTAAATGTTCAGGTCTAAATCACAACCCAGGGCCTTGTTATTATTGGTCCTAAAGCCCTCAGTGTGGAAGACCTGTAACCTTGTCTTTCCCCTTGGAATAGTGAATGTCAAGCTAGCAGGCATCAGAATTACCAAGAGGCTCTGCTAAAACAGATTGCTGGGCTTTATCATTACAGTTTCTGATTTAGTAAGTCTGGGATGGGACCTCGAATTTCACTTTTAATGTTTCCAAATGCCAGTGATGCTTCTGGTCTAGAACCTTGTGTCACAACCCCTGCTGCAAGAAAGGCAACAGGAAGGAAGGTTCACTTACTGCTGTGACTATTGTCATAGAAAATTCTTCATGGCATAATCATTAGGGATCATGGCCAAAAATTAAACTGGGAGGACCTGGTAGACATATGTTTCATTTTCAACTATAATGGTCTCCTTGCAGCTTCCAATTTTCCTCTGGTGTTTTTCCATCTTCTCCAGGTCCATGGACCTTTGTATCCCTTATCAGGTTGATTTAGGACTCATGATATATAAAGCTGATCAGTTAGGAAACGTAATTAGCTTCAGGCTTTGGGGAACGCAGTGTCCTTAAGTCTGTTTTATTACTGTGGCCTGTTCAGTGGGGCCGTGAACCAGAACTCAGAACTACTGGTCACCATAAGAAGGTACCACATTCCATAGTAAAGCCATCTCCACTAGCCTACCCTCTGCCAAACACATCTCATCCCATTCTGGTGATCCTGAGTACGTTAGCACATGAACCCTGTGTTAAATATGTGATTCGGACAAGAACAACTCCCCCCAGACATCTGCCATATGGGTCTCTCTTCGATTCTGCTTTGTAGGACTTAAGTTCTACTCTGCCAGGCAAATGTCATCTCTCTGCAGGGTGTCTGTATGTGGGTGCTGGCTCAGGTGATGACATGAGGGGTCTGTGAGAAGCAGCAGGCAAGTAATGAAACAAACCAACAAAATCATTATTTTGTCTTAGGTCCTTCAGGAGTATGGAAGATTAGTTCCCGGATGTGCAATTCAAGACCAAAATTTAGCATACCAACCAGTAGGGACTTCACTGTAGGGTCTCTGTGGACTTCTAGCAAATTCTTCCTCAGCAGCCTCTAGCTGCCCAGTGGTTAGACTACATGAAAAAGATGTTGGTGAAAGGATTTACACAAAAACAGAGATAAGCACCGAGAGCAGTGACAAAACATAGGTTTTGAAAGCTACTCTCTGAAGCTCCGGAAGACAGGAAACTACAATAGCAAGCTGCCTGTGAGAGCGAGAAAGAGACACACAGAGACATCAAGTCCCACATTAGCCTCCAATTACCTAGTATTTTATTTTTAGTGCCTAGGCAGGGATTGAGAAACAGATATGCTGGATAAAACATGTCGGTCTTCTTCATCCAGAAACGAGAGGGGCTCTGGTGAGGAGCCTTTCTGGAACTGTGATGCTCCCCGCAGGCTGATGTTGGGTACTGAACATGGTTCAGTGGGCTGCTAGCCAGCTCTGGAGAGGAATGGGGCTGGGGGCTGGAGAGGAAGGGGAGAGCATGAAATCCCAGTCTCAGATGGGCTGGACTCTTGTGAGGGTACTGAAGGTTGAGAGTTAGCTGAGGGACGCAGTTTTTCCTTTTTGAGGGATCCAAATAGTCTCAACCAAGAAGCAGGTGCGTAGATAGTAGAGAAGGCTGTAGATTTGCTCTTGCCATTAATTCTAGGGCAGTCAGGGGAGCTCAGGTTTTCTGCTTCAGAAAAGTCTGGAAGAGCATCCCAAGGGGTTATAGCACCATGAGGAGGCTCAACCTACTGCAGTTGCCACATACCAGGATGCCTTGGTGAGATGACTGATCCCCATGCTGAGGGGTCCAGATGAGCAACTGTAAACAGGGTCCCAGGCTCCAGTGGGGAAGCTGAGGCTGCAATATTACCTCATCAGATGGAAACACACTTTCTGGGGCAAAACAACTGGAGACCTGGACTAAATGCAGCAGTCAAGATAAAGTAGAGGGTGGTGGACCCCAGGACTGGAGGTGCAAAGTCTCGACACGAGAGGCTTCCAGAATCAACCTGCTGAGGATCCAAATGAAATTCATGGTGGTATCCATGGTTACCAGAGAGTCAGGAATCCCTTTGGGGAGGGGGGGTTTGAGGCAGTTGGAATGGAGGAAGGGGGTCTCCCCTTTCCTTTTTCTCAAGTAGCCAGTAACATCCATGACAGAAGGCACTGGCTGGGCAGCACCGGAGAGCAGAGAGTAAGGGCTTGACCACCTGGTTCAGATGGCATGCCAAGTCTAAGCCTGCCACGGGACTGGAGCTAAGGACAGGGTTCAGAAAAGGCCTCGGTCCAAAGAAGGCCCATCTGGTCTTCCCACCCTTCCAAGCTGGAACACTCCGCTCTGTGGCCTCCTCATTCTGCACAGCAGAGACCTTAAGGCAGTGATTTCAGCACCATCCTTGGACGAACAGCCTCTTCCCACCACAGATTGCATATTTTACAGCTGAGTTGGTTGGGGATCTTCACAGCTCATGGAATTAGCAGCAATAGCAAAAATTATCTCCACCACAGAGGACCCCGCCGTCCCTGGGAGCTACCAGGTGAATGCAGAAACTCTTCTCGGGAGCAGTCCAGATCGTCTCTGGAACCCACATGATAGTATTCTGGTAGAAGATTCGGGTACATCTTCTCCTTTGTTGGGGAAGGACAGTTGTGTGGGTTGGTATGGTGTAGGGTCTTGTGCTACTTAGGAATCCGAAGTGCAAACTCTCGGGCCCAAGTTCATCGCCTATCCCTGTTCTGCAGAGCCCAGATACTTCACCACGCTTAGCTTTCAGAAATGGAGGAAGCAAACGTGCTCATGTGACACAAGCGATTTCAGTCTTTTAGGATTCCATCTTAACTGACTCCAGAGCTTCTGTCCCCAGGGTATTAGGCCTCTAGTCACGGGCTTCCTTATAGCTGGCACTTTGACTTTTGGCTAATTTCTTAGTGACTCAGAAGGGTTAGGAAACAGGAATGTATACTTAGTGGAAGTTAACATTTCCTATTCGCTGAACTTAAAGGGACCTTGCTTGTCCTTTTTTTTTTTTAACCTAGTGGCTGGTACTCAGTAAACAATAGATGTTTATCGAGTAAAGGAATACGAAGTGTCAGATCACCAGGCAATGCTTGTCAAAGTGGGGTTCCTTTGGGAGGCAGATTTTGGCCACCCCGTCAAATTCCTTGCACCTTATATTCTGAATGGGAGTATCGCGTGTGGATGTCCAGTCTTGTAAGTGAATACTCACTTGTCAAAGACATAAATAAAGGCCAGTTAGGAATTCTGGGTTCAGTCAGACAAAGTGACTGCCATCAGAACAGAGCAGTGAGGGGCCAGAGTGGCCAATGGGGGGAGAGCTCTTTTGTCTTCTGCTTCCTGTAGTCCATGAAGGTCAGAGTAGAGCTTCTGTCAGGATGGGTGATGTACTGGCATTCCAGGGGTGGGCAGGCAAGCTCCCAGAAGGGACATGGGCTTTCTCAAAAGGGACATCACGCTCTTCTTTCTAGTGCTTTGTGCCGCAGAGAGCCCCAAGGATGCCAGAGAGAGTGGTGTGGCAGGTGTCTGGCTGGTACCAATGACATGACATCAGATTCTCCCAAGGAAAATCCACTTGGAAAAGCTCAACAAGCCCACATTGGAAAAGCAGCTTAAGCATCTCATAGGTATGTGAGGAGATGGGAAAAGTAAACAAAACCAAGAAAGAAAAGGAAAATAAATAGGTAAATGGGAGGAGGAAAAATAGAAACAAAACAAAAATAAAAATATAAAACGCAGGGTTTATTGACTCTCATGCATGTTAAATTAGCAGGTGGAAGACAGCTGGCGGGCTTTCTCTGAAGGCCTAATGTTGTTCTGTGGTCTGGCGACTTCTTCCCCCGGCAGCTCTCTAGTCATCGTCCCTCCGTCACCCGAGGGCAGCAGCGGGCAGTGCTCTCTTTACCTTGGCAACTGGTTCCCTCGCTCCAGATTCATCTTTTCCATTTTTTAAAAAACTGTTTACAGATTGATTTAAACATCTTTTTAAACCACATGCTTCTTTTTCTGGGCTCCAGCCAGCTCTCTGGGAGAAGAGTTGTTGGCAGTGGCGATGGACCTGGGGAGGGGCTGAAAAAATTGGGGGGCCTCCCCACACCGGTCTGTCTTTCTCGGAGCTGTTCTTGAAAATCAGTTAGGAATGACTGCAGGTTTGGTGTTTTTGTTGTTGCTGTCTTCTGAACCTCTCTCGAGAAAGCCCAGGAGTTTTTCATTGAGACAAGAAATTAAGAGAAGAGACCCAGAATCATGTTTTCCCCAAAGTCATGTGAGGAGACCAGTAAATATAGGGGACACAAGTTCCCAAGCTCCACCCACCAATCCTTCTGAAAGGTGCAGCACCGAGAACCTGCCCCTTGCCCTCACCGCCTCCTCCCTCCTGCTCGGTCTCTGGAGAGCCAAGAGAGGGGAGGGGGGCTAATGTGGCTGGTGCCAGCATTCTGCTGTCCAGGGTCACAGTAACTGCTGGACCTTCAGAGCGTGGCCTGGAGGTTGGGGTCCAGGATGGTTTCTCGATCTGGAGACTCGATGTAATTGGCAGCTTCTTGAAGTTTCAGCAGCATAGCCATCTAGAGAGGGACAAAAAGACAAGTTAACAAGGGTTGGGATTCCAGGTCCTGCACTTAGGAGGAACACATAAAAAAACGACATTGTAGGTCTCATCCTTAGCTCTTAAGTGATTTCCAGCCCAGAGTGTTTAGAGGTCCCGAAAGCCTCAATGAAGGCTTTTACCCAAAATAAAGGCGTGGCGACAGACATGTAGCAGTCTCACAATTCAGATGCCAGCTGTGATGCCAGAGACAAGACCACCTTCCAGGCCTTCCAGTCCAGCGGAGGCCTGCACACAGCCGCGAGGACTGCCAGATGTGGTTAGTCCCGAAAACACCTCAGGCTGACTCCTTCCAGTGAGTTATTACCCAAGAAGCAAAGAACTCAGCATTACTGTAAATCTGTTTGTCCCCAGGTCACAGATCATCTTGCGTCATGTCAGGTCTAAATTCTTCAGTGTATTTACCTCCTCTCCTCTTTCTTTGTCATGTTCCCTTGACATTTCAAGACTATGACCCTCCATTCCAGCTAAGTTGTCCAGTTGATTCTCAACAGATACTGTCTTCCACCTGTCTATTGATAGGATTATCAATCATCTTCCCATTTATTCATTTATACACACAGAACTGGGGTATAGGCCAGAGGTGTGTGTGGGGTGGGGGGTGGGGTGAGAGGACTCACCAGAGACAGAGTAGGGAGCAGGACAGCCAGATCTACTGACCCGAGGGCAGTAGCAGGTGGGTCAGGAGAGGTCTGCCATGCCAGGCGGGTGACCCCGGGGCTGGGGACGAAACTCATGCTGCAGTGGCTGCGATAGCTTCATAGTGCTGTGCCTTAATCCACTGTGCCACCAGGGTGGTCCCCATCTTCTCATTTAAAAGTGTTTTTACACAGATAACCTATTTTCCATACAGTCAACATTTAAGTAAAAGTGTATAAAAATATAGGCTGTGTAAAATATATATTTCTATGTTTTTACTAGTGGCATCATTTCCTACTTGAAAGATAAAACCACAAGGAAACAGGACTTGCACAGGTGGTTGCACTAACGAATGGTCCCAGGGCAGAGTGTGGGGGTCTCGCACACATGTGTGCACGCACGATGTGAACTGGATGCCTCCTGTCTTAATATGCAAATCCTCAACTACTGGACAGGAAAGGAGCTTTTTTCTTGGGCCCACTAACCCCTTGACTTTCCTCTAGCTAAGCGCCTATTCATATCCTGTTGTCTATTCTGTTTGGAACTTTGGAGGAAGTTCCATGTGTTTTAGCTCTCAAGCCTCTCTTGGTCAACAGCATTGCAAACATTCCTCTTTAGTTGGTTACTCGTATCAGCCTGCTCTCTGCAAGGGCCTCATGAAGCCCCCCAATGAAGCAGCCTGCGGCAGGTATCAGCAAGGAGGAAGAGTGGTGGTAGATCCTGCACTCTGGTTGACATTCTTACTGAGAGTTGCCTGACTCAGGTCTTGGCTAGAATACATCTTGCTGGGATGCACTATTGTTTGTCTTAAGGTAGGCCACAGGCACCCCATCTTTACATATTTTTATTATTTTATTTTTGTGTGCAGAAGAAGTAGGCTACAGGCCAGAGGTGAAAGGGGTGGTGAGAGGATTCCCCAGAGAGACTGGGGAGCAGGAGGACTCTGCTAAATACACGGCTAAGGGGAGCAGCAGGCGAGACAGCAGAGGTCTGCTACACCATGTGTCGACACCCCATCTTTATAATGCAGGACTCTGGTTGTCTGAGCCTCTCATTGGCCTCATCTCATCTCAACCTGTCGATTCCCCAGCTCCAGTTCCTAGCAGGGCCTGCCCGCAGAGCTCAATTCTATGACACCCTTAAGTTTACCGTTGAATGGCGTCTACTCACCAGAGGGTCTGAGTCCAGAGAGCTTGGGGTGCTGTCCTTGACTGTCCTGTCCTCGGGGGGCGAGGCAATGCTGTGGGGGCCCACGGTAGGTGGAGGCAGGTGGTAGAGCTTGGACTGGTCCTGTTGGGCTGAGGGCCAGGGAAGAGTGTCTCGGACCCACTCCACTGGGTCCTCCCATGCGGCTTTCTGTCCGTGCACCTGGAGAGGAGGAGAAATGTGGTTACTGGAACAGGAATTCAGAGAAGAGGGCTTGTTCCTGTAGCCTCCTGATGGGGCTGTGGATTTTCTGAAATGTCAAAAAGCCTTGAGGCTCTGATTCCCGTGGAATTTTCTTTGAGTTTCTCAACAAGGGAAACAAAGTGGTCAAAATGGTAAAAGCTTGGCAGACTGTTTTAAAACAGTCTGCACACATCTAATATCTCAGCAATTTTATTTTTCAAGTTGGAAAATTTAGTCCAATTTAGTCACAACACCTTTTCCATTTTTTTTTCACTTTCTTGAAAATAAGTTATCTGCACAGAAATGTGTTTTAATAAAAAACTACTAATGACAATGCAAAATTAAATAAAGTGGTAATTTCTGGAATCGGCCTGTAGACAGTATCTCTGGAAACTTGCCATGTGGTCAGGGGATGTCTATTATAGATGGCATCCATGGGAAAGACATGGCTGGTAGGTCCAGTCCTGTGTCATAACTCACTAGTGCTGCAGAGGCTTTGGTGAAGATTATGCCCTAGTTTGCAAGTGAGAAAACTCAGGAGGTTTTTGAGAAAATACAATCTCTTTTGCACCAAGTTTCATTTCATCCTTACAAACAACCGAGTGATTTAGACACTGCAGAATTTATTATCTGTCCCTCTTTCTCTTTTTTGACAGATGACAAAGTTAGAGCAGGTTAAGCAGCTTGGCCAAAGTAATACTCTAATTGTAGTTAGCAATAAGCTAAGGCTGTGATAACAGGCTTCGGCATTCGAGCTCCATTGTTTTACCATTTGCTCTGATCCCTGCAAAGTGGGCTGAGCCTGAAACTGGAGCCACTCCCCCCGAAGCTGCAGTGGGGGAACCGTTTGCTGAAGAGTAACAGAAGCCAGGAAAGTGGCTCAGTCTGTCCAGCACTGACTCCGTCTGTCTGGGAGGGAACCTGTCCAACCTCAGCAGCCCAGGTTTATCACTGGAAAAATGTTTCGACTTTGTTAGACGGGGCAGGCAGCCTGACGTTGGAGACAGTGTGAGGGTCGGCTCACCTTGATCCCATCCTTGGCTCCTTCTTGCAGGTAGGGAATGATGGAGTTGTTCCACAGGTCAATGAACCAGGTCCGGAAGTCCTCAATGCCAATGGGACAGGACAGGAAGAAGCAGGGGCCTGGGGGAAAGGTCAAGAAGATGGCTGAGAATCCAGCTGTTTCCAACCTGTGGCCGCTTTTGCTCCTTAATGCCAGGCAGCGGGGTCTGGTAACCACAGGCCAAAATTTAGAGCGGGACTCTACTGAGACCACTGTCAGAGGGAGCTGCGCGCCTGGCTGGCTGTCACAGGTAGCACTTCACCAGATGGAAGTGAACTGAGGAACTGAGGGAAAGCTTGTCTACTCTCTGCTAAATGCTTTCCCTCCATTTAGCTGTGGGCAACTTCCCCCAGGAGCTGGATCAGCTTTACCCAAATCATGGTAATGTCTGTTTAGTAATGACATGGATCTAAGTCTGAAGTTACAAGACTTGCAAGTCTTTTACATGCTGAAGGCTCTGGAAAGAAACGGGGACACCCCTCAAGTGGCAACGTAGGAAAGGGAAGCTGAACCCCAGTACCGATGAGGAAGTCTGAGGTGCTGTGCTTCTCAAGGAAGGTGTGGAGGTGATACCACAGCTTGGGCACCCAGTCGAGCACTCGCAGCAACTCCTCCTTGTTGGCGTTGATGTCACTGTCTGATTCTACCAGCTTCCTCCGCAGATAACGAACCAGGAAGCCGTTTGCTGGCTCCACGTTGTTGGAGAAGGTCAGCATCCTGCGCCGGACGTGAGGGGGTCAGAGCGGCCATGGGCACTCACGTCCCCAGCCAGTACTCCTCCTGCCTGCCTCCTGCTAATGCCTGCTGGGTCTCCCTCAAGTAACAGTGGGCTCAGCTGAACTCAGGGCAGTGGCCTGGGCAGGCGGGCCAGCTCTCAGGGCAGGGGCCTGCTTCCTATGACTGTCTGACTCCAGTGACCCGCATGAGTCTCAGGAACAGAGAGCTGGTCTTGAGAGGTCTAGCTGCGTGTCTCCTGGCAGCGCAGGCCTTTCCTTCTCTCAGCTCCTCCTCCTCTCTGTAACGAACTGGCAGTATACTACCCTTCCTTTTCAGTCTAGAAGGCTCTGATTAGTTCTCTCTTCTGTTACCTGCTGCCCCCTTGCTGGATCCTGGGGTCTAGCTAGTTTGTCTTTCATAGGGTCGGAAGACCCATCCAGCGCTACAGTTTTTACCTGAAGCTCAAGTGTAAGCCGTGATTGGGTGTCATTTTTACAGGCTGGTTGGTGGTACCTATAATATAGGGACTGTGGGAAAGAGAGAAGAAAAGATTCATTGTTAAGACAATTACTTTCTGCACACGCACCCTGTGGACAGCTCAAGGTTGGCGCGGACAGGCTCTCCTTCCTTCCGGGAGGGTGCGTTCGGTCCTGACACAACTTACCATTTGTGATACTTGCAGGTGAGGGCCCCGTTAACCAGTTCGCTGATGGAGCCTGCTTCACTCAGGTCGTCCAATAGGATCACCAAGGGGACGTCTCCAATCCCAGTTTCCCGGTCTATCTGGTTGGCCAGGTTGGAGAGATATAGCTGCAGATCCTGGAAGCAAGGCATGGGTGTCGGCGTCAGGAGCACTGAGCACCGCGCCTGCCTTGGGAGATTCTCTGCTGTTTCTGGGACCCCTGGACCTTTGGTTACTCTATGACACACAGGACATGTGACGTGGAGGCCAACCGCCAGAGCCCCTAAAGCGACCTCTTATGCAGTGGCATCTCCACCCCCCAAAGGAAGGGACATGTGCTATTTCCTAACCACTTTCCTCTCAAGTGGCGCCACCCTGGGGAGAACCAGGATCTGGGCAACTCCCATCAGCATGCGCTCAGGGAACAATAGCCAGCTTCAGTCCAGGGTGGGACATTTAGCTCTGAGGGCCTCTTCCCAGGGGGCCCTAAGTCTGAGAGTGATACCTGAAAAAATGGCAGAGAGGACTGCAGGGTGGCAAAGAGTGGGAGGACAGGGGGCCAATCAGTCAAGGGTCATAAAGGGAGAAGGGTTTAAAAAAATAAAAAAATTTTTAAAAATTATAAAGGGAGAGGAAGTTAATGGAGGCAAGGGAATGAGCGGAGAGAGATGAGGAGGGCAAGTCTGGAGAGAAACTGGCTTTGGGGAAAGATGGGAGGTGCGGGGGAAAGGGGGGGCACAGCAGGGAGGGGCTGGAGCAGAGGTGAGGGGGAGAGGAGGACAGGAGGGGGGGGTGCCGAGGGCCTGGGGGCCTGGGCAGAGGCGGGCAGGCCTCTCGCAACCACCTTGCAGGACTGCTGGTGCATGTTGAAGGTGCTGACGATGCCCTCTGTGACCTCGCGGCCTGAGCGCTCCACCAGGTACTCGGCCAGCCGGTTGGTCAGGTAGGTCTTGCCGGTGCCGCTGGGGCCTGAGAGGACGAGGCGCCGGTGCTTGAGCAGGAGGCTTATGTAGTGCTGCATCATCGGCTTGGGGATCAGCGTCTCAAACACCAGGCTGTCGACGCATTTCTCCTTCAGACCTGAACCCCAGAAAGCACAGTCATGGCCGGGGCCCTGTAGGTGGCCAGGCACCCTCAGGGTTCACCTGTCTACCTGGGAGCCTGCTGAAAAACTCAGAGCCACTTGCAAGTGGCTCCACAGGGATCCCAGAACCCCTATGTTTTGTAAAGAGATCTTATTTTTAGGGACATGCTGTGAGCTGCAGGTTCGTGGGTGGAAGGAGAAGCCCAGACTTGGCAGACATTTCTCGGGAACCGAAGTGCCCCTGGGAAAAACATTAACACTGGCTCTTAATCATCGGCTTAGCTCTTATGATACTTAAGCACAGCGATGGTCTTAATGCAACTTCTCACTAAATTCCTGTTGAATGAAAGTATGTTGAGTTATCTAATATGCTCTTCCTTCCTTCACTGCATATCACTGTACCCCAAGAGACAAAGACTGACCTTTGAGGGAGACTGATATGTTGTTGACACCTCGGCGGCAGGGGGGCATCTCTGGGGGTTCGGCCTCCAATACCCGTTTCACGTGGCTGAGGCTGTAGCCGTGGATGGACTCAGTGCTCAGCCCCAGGGTAGAGGCGGGGTCCATCTTTGAAATATAGTCCTGAAGGAAGGGAGATGGCGGTGAGGAACACAGGCAACACACACGTTAAAAGTCACCAGAAGAAAAGAATACGAAAGAATACGAGAGGGATGGAAAGGGGATGGCGGACAGGGAGGAAGAGTGTCCCATTCAGCATTTCTCCACAGGGTGCGGATGGATGGTCCCCAGGACTGCGAGGAGTGGTGGGGGCAGGAGAAGGGGGGCCTCACCCAAAAGGACCCGTGCCCCGAGCCCCCCAGCTCTTACCTCGAACACCTGGAACACAGCCTCGTCCAGCATCTTCCAGTCAACTTTCCCACTGACCTTGCTGCATCCCAGGAAGAACTCCTGCTGCTTCAGGTCCTGCAAGGGCAAGGAGTGGGGCTGACTCCAAGCAGGGAGGGGCTGTGGGCCTGAGGACCAAGCATGCAGGTGGGGGGCGCCCCAGCACCCAGAATCTGCGGGGCTAGAAGTGAGTGTGGCGGGCCCTCCCTGCGGCTCCTTACCCCTTTGATGATGCGCTGTGGGGGCATCCGCACCACCACCCGGAGCGTCACTTCCTCCTTTGGCCCACAGGTGCTGATGCCATCCATGGGCGACAGGTCTGTGGGCCGTGGAAAAGGACCGCTGGTGTTAGGGGACCCGAGCTCACCCCGACCCCGTGCCCTCATTTTTTGCAGTAACTCTGTCTACCACCAGGGTGCGCCCCAGACAAGAGCCCTGTGTTCAGAGGCCCACTCACTCTTGGTGTTTCAGGACACTGACTGAAGGCATGCTACCTTCCTGACCTAAGAAGATGCCCCCAGAGTGAGCGAGTGGGTATTACAGGGATCCCTTTTTTCTCTGTACCCTTGTGGGTCCTTCTCCCCAACAAGTACCTGTGTCTGCAAGACTTGGCGTGAAGGAATGGGTGAGCGCCAGGCCCAGTGTGCGGCGAGGGGATGATAAGGCTGAGGGCCCAGGGGCCTGCCCTGGGGTGGAGCCCGAGGAGGGGCCCGGGGCCACCTTCAGCCGGTCGTTCTCCGCCTTCAGCAGGTCCACCTCCAACTGTAGGAGGGACAGACAGGGGTAGCGGCGGACGGGCTGCCGGTCGGCTGCCCCTGCCCGTTGCCCTCTGCCTGGCACTGACCTGCATGTTGTGCATGGTCTCCCGAAGCTGGTCAAGCTGATGTGCAGAGTTGAGGGCTTCTAAGCGGATGTCTGTCAGCTTCATCTCTTTCTCCCACAACTCCGAGCGCAGCTCCGATACCTCCTTCTTCTCTGGCTCCTCCTCCTCGTTGGCATGGAACAGCCTCGTGTGGGGAACCGAGTGAGCAGGGGCCCTGTGAGAAAGTGAGACCCAAGTCAGGCTCATGGCAAGTGGAGATGACCCGAGGCTGGATGGTGGCCGGGGTGTGCTGGCTGCTGCCCACACACTCCGTCGGTAGAGACAGGGAACGTCCCCTCTGCCCAGGGAGGTGAAGAGGGGGGTGTCTTGTGTCCAGGGTCAGAGGACTTTCTGTTCACACTGGGGCCGGGCCGCGTGGCGGGTGGCGTGAACACTTACTCGGTGACGTCAGTGGTCACAGAAGACGAGTTGGAGGACTTGATGGAGGGTGAGGCGGTCTCTGTGGAGCCATGCTGAAGTTTAGGGGAGGAGGGGGCTGAGGAGTCGGGAGTGGCAATTTCCTCAATATCGGAGTATGAGGATGCTGACTTGGGTCCCTTTTTTATACTGAAGGCTTTGTTGAAGGAACTTCGAAGCTAGAAAAAAGCAGATCCAGGTAAAGGGACATCAGGCCCCACTTGGGATGGGGGAGGATGCTCGGGACCTCTGAGACAGAGGTACAGAGGCAGGGGGCTCGCTGGCTGCAATTAAGCCTTGCTCTTTTAGGCTTCAACGGGTAAGGACGGAAGAGTTGCCTAGAAATTAGAGCTGAGAGAAAGAGTAGAATATGGTTTGCTGCTATTACAGGCTACGGGAATTTCTTGGGTCTTTTCTCTTTCGGGGGGAACTGAGTCCACAGAGAAGAGCCCCCAGAGGGCACAACGTACACCTCTCAGTGATCCAATTTCACCTGCTCCAGCAGACCAGTCTAGCATCCAGCTCTCTGAGGGCCTCTGGCCCACTTCTGACCAGGGCTCAGCCCAGAGTGTATTCACCGTGCATCTATCAATCAGAAACCAACCGGCCACGTGATTCTGTGGAGACCCCAGAAGGACTGCAGTCGAGTTTCTTTTAGGGTCTCCTGTGCTCAGCACGGCCCAAGATGGTCTACATGACCCTATGAGGCGCTTTCTCTACTTGCTCTCAAATACCCTAGGATAAGCGTGATCCTGCAGAGGCCTTGGGGTGATCGCAGCATTGCCAAGCTCAGGTGTTAGGATGTGAGCTGGAGAGGCAAACCAGGGTCCTGTCCCACACCCACTCACATGCATCCACACGGCATGCACACACACACAAGGACACGGAGATGGCAGCAAGAGACAGAGTCGGGGTCGAAGGCTGTTGGGGAGAAAGGCAAACCCAGGTCTCTGGGACAGTGAAAGAAAAGAAGGGAAAATTTGAGAGTGCTCTTTTGAAATGTCGCTCCCAGAGCACAGGAGGGCCGACGGGATGGCTGGAGCTGGTGGGTTATGTGCTGGGGTCTCCATTAGCTGGGGCATGGAGGGGGGCCAAGGCCGGCCGCGATGGGGTGTGAGAGAGGACGCGTGCCCCTAGCTGCAGTGGTGTGCAGGGCAGCATCACGCCGGCCATCAGGCTTCAAGGGTACCGAGGAGCCCAGTTCTCTGTGGAGATGAAGAACTGAGGCTGAAAGGCCAGAGTTGAGTTGCCTGAGAGTGAGTCACTCAAGGAGGGGCGTGGGGCTAGAACTCAGGATACCTAATTTTTAATCTAACCACAAGGCACAGAAAGCAGTCCTGTGGCCAAGATCTGCCAGGGACATGTCTTCTAAGATCGTTATGATCCAGAGTGAGAACAGTGAGGTGTGAGGGCCAGTGTTCGTTCCCGCAGCAGAGCTCTGGGGGCTGCTGGCTGTGGTCACGTGGAGGACTCTGTGCAGGAGCCTGGGAAACAATGGGTCAAGCCAAGACCAGGCCGAACGAGGTGGGGCCATTACTGAGGGCATCTGAGTGCTCCGTCCCTACACACTGCATTGCCGAGATGGCGGTGTCTATCCATCCTGACGATGGTATCAACTTAAACAGGCAGCTCATTGGGCTCGTGGAGAACACATCCGGGAAATGCTAAGGAATCAAGTCTGAAAATTTATTCTGGCCTTCTATGCCCACCTTGAGTATGCGCCACCCTTCTCACTCAGTGCTCTGGCCACCCCTCTGCTCCCCTTCTGACCAGAGCAATCATCCTATCACCCCTTCTGCTCAGACAGTCTTTGCAGAAAGCATCCTAACACTTGCTTCTTTGGCCACAACCCCTTCTCGTCTTGCCTTTCCCCTGCTTTGCAGGGATTTGCTGTCTTCTCTAACTCGTCTCTCACCTACGTGCTCCCTGGGCACCGTGGCCTGAATTAAGCACCTGGTACTGCTGTGCTCTAAGTGTTGTGTGTACGACATGGCTCTCCAGCAGTCCTGCAGGGTTCTCTGTGACGGAGATCACAGACTGCAGTTTTACACCCTCACGACACCTCGTGTCACGGCGGGATGGGGGAGAAGTAGCCCCCAGTGAGGGGTTTGTATGGGAAATTGTGGGTTCACTTTCCATCTGTCCTAGACGAGACCCTCATCCCTGAAATGTTTCTGCAAACTCCATGGATGCTCAGAGGGCCTCCAGCTTTAGGGTCACTCACGGGGTCCTGGACCGGGTCACAGCCTTCACCTGGCTCTGGCTCACCCGACTCTGGAGCGAACCCCTCAGGCAGCGCTCAGCCTGAATGGGCCTGGCATTGGTGATCCAAAAGATGTTCGTCAACCAGTGACTTTCTTCCTTTTCAGGCTTACAGGCTTGATGGGATGAAAAATACGAAAGCTCACTTTCTGGACAGAAGGAGCTCCATTTGCTTTTTGTTGTGGGAGGAGACAGGAGGGAAGAGAAGAGGATTTTGTTTGACTTTCCCACCTGGCCCCCAACCAGGCCACTCCTCTGTCCTCACGTGGGGCAGCGGGATGGACCATGCAGTGGGGTGAGTGCGGGGCTCTGGGTGGTGGTGATCGTTAGTTTTATGAGTGGCTGTTCCTTTTTTAGGGGGAGGGAGTTGCTCTGGGAATAGGGAAGGTATATGGCAAAGGGAAAGAGAAAACAAGGGAGAGGAACTGGGTCTCTTACCTCATAGACCTGGAAAAAAATAGGGATTTGAAGTCAGCATTTTGAAGGGGGGAGAAAAAAAGAAGCAACACTTAATCACTCATTTCACACAGCAGGGACCTATCTGTACTACACCAAGATCTGTGGGCCCATCTTACTGAACAGGGGGCAGAGGAGCGAGGGGTGTCCATTTAGGGTCTTCTTCCCACAGGCAACAGAGGAGCTGGGAGTGCTTTAGGTCTGCCTAAAGGATTTCAGAAAGATCATCCAAAGTCAGGTGAAGGTGGGCCCTCCCTGGTGGCACAACAGGTTAAGTCTCAGCACTATGAAGCTCTCCGCAGCCACTGCAGCACGAGTTCGATCCCTGGCCAGGGAGGGAGGTGACCCACAGGGTGCAGCAGACCTCTCCTGACCCGCCTGCTGCTCCCCTCAGCAGTGTGTCAGTCGGCCTGTTTTGCTCCCCATTCTGTCTCTGGTGAACCCTCTCACTGCCCCTATACCCCTATACCTATACCCCAGTTCATGTGCATAAATAAATAAATGTTTAAAAAAAAGAAAGAAAAGAGATTATCTGGGGAGAAAAGTCAACAACTATCTCTGGACCAAAGAATGAATGGTTCTGTTCATAAAATCTCTCTGGGATATAGAAAGAAGTGTGTGTGTGCGGGCAGGGGCAGAGGGTGGGGTGGGGGGTGGGAGTGGGGGTGTGAGGGGTTCTAGATGTTCACTTTTGGATACTTTCTTGTTTTCCTTCTGTTGCCAAATACGTCTGACCTAGTTGGATGTCGGATGGCTTGGACAGGTGGAGGAGACTGGAGGAAAGGACAGGCTAGCAGGCCTGGCTCTGAGCAGGCTTCACGCTGGCGTCTAGACTAGGAGGACTCTGCCGGGCAGTCCTGGAAAGCTGTGCCGCCTGTGCTGACGATGCAGTCCCTTAGGCTCTTCTACGTGGTCCCCTCCCCCAAATCCTTGACCTACCCAGCTCTTCTTTTTCTTCTTTTTTGCATCAGCATCCTTGCCACTGCCAACGCTGGAATGGCTGGTGATGCTGTTGAGGCTCGAGATGCTGTCTGAGGAGTTTTGTCTCTTGATCCGGAGTTCTGGGGGCCAAGTACAAGTGGAAAGAACACAGACAGGGCTTATGTAAAGAAGGCATGAGACTTATGGCGAATCTAGCTACAGGAGGTAGAGGAGAAGGGAGCTAATCAATTCCCAGGTCCTCGTGATTCACTTTTAGGATCATTCAACACTGAGAGCCAGCTGTTTCAGCATAAAGAAAGTTAAAGGGAGAAATTATTCCTGTTTGGATCTCTCCAGTGGTGTAAGGGTTAAAAAGTCTCAGTGCGGCCCTCCCTGGTGGCGCAATGGGTTGAAGCACAGCATTAAGAAGCTAAAGCCACTTCCTCATGGGTTCAATTCCC